GTAAATACAACTTAACCACTGATTTGTAGTCGTGTCCTCTTTTGGAAGACCAAACAACGTAGGTTCGCTTTCACAACGTAAAACACGGCGGCCTAGCGTGAGCTGAGAGTGGAGTGAGCAGAGGCAGCGGGGTTGAGAACGGTGCGGCCGGCGGATTCGACGAAGGAGCGGCAACCACATGTGATGACCCCGGACTGGACTCTGCTTCGTGCACGGTGAAAGCCGATCCAGCGACCCACAGCACTAAGTTGATGTATTCCCTCAGCGACCAGCACAGATCAGCTCGCATGACGAAGCGGATATCGTCCTCTTTTGGAAGAAAAAACAAAGTAGTTTCGCTTTCACAACGAAACACACAGCTCTTCACAACATGACGGCGGCAAAAATACTACAGCGAGAGTAAAAGTTACGCCTTCTTTCTTTGCGTGAACATTTGGGCGGCGTTATGCAAATCTTCCCACATAGTGATGTAGATATGTGGGGGCGTGTTAGAACGAGCCATTTTAGGTAGGCGTGGTTAACTCTTAACTTTTATAAAGAATATCTCTTTGGATTTGAGACTTCAGTCTTTGCAACTTTACAGATCTTCTTTATGCACCAAGAGCTTGTAGCACTCCAAAGAGAAAGGAAACATTTAAATCGCATCATATGACCCCTTTAAGACAAATTAGCCACAAATTTGACAAAATGAAAATAGTTACAAATTGCTATTAAAATATGTTGCAATTACCTTGTTGTTTATTGAACTGTTGTATAAAAGCAATGTCACAAAGAGAGAAATGAATACTTAGAAGTTATTATAATTCCTAAAAAAGCCCTAAAAGGAAGGGGTGGGAGTTAATGACAGAAGTGTAATGTTTAGCATCCCTGGGGCAACTTGGGTTTCATCAGGTTTTGCTCAAGGACACAGTGGCCACAAACAAAGGAAAACCAATGCCAATCAGAAGTTGCCACCCAGCAGCCAAAATCTTCCTTTATGAATGAAATTTAAATTCCTCAATGCACACTGATACTAATGTGATCAACGCACATTAAGAGATTCAAATCTCTGACCTGGGACAGAAAAGTAATTCATATTTATTCAAGACAGTTGCTGTGTCAGAGTGCAGGAATCATTAATACATTCGCTGTGGTGTAGCAAATGAAAACACTGCATGTCCTTAGAATACCTGCTGCATTTTGTATTGATCTTTTCCTTCCATCGGTCTTTCCCTTTCAGTATCTCCTTCCTCTTTGCAATTATCCCTGAAATCCGGCTTGGCAGAAAGCAGTACCTTCACATCCTCAGGTCAATGAGCGGTTTTCAGCGCTGAACGGTACCCATTAAAATTACGTGTGTGAACTTTAGAGACGCAAGAAAGCGTTACCTTGTCTAACGAGACAGCAGCATAGAAGACTTCATTGGCAGTAGAACAAGGAGGAAACATCAAGCAAGAGACAAGTATTAGTAGTATGACACCTTATTATGCTTTATTATGAGTGCTGTTACATTGAACCTGACATTAATGTCCGTAAGTAAAATAGATGAAGTCTTATAGCAATCCATAGCGTGCCAGTCCAGCTCAGTCCCAAACAGCTCCTTACAGGTCACATCTATATAGGTTTATGTGCTTTATAAGCACATTCTAGCAGCCCAGTAACTGACAGCAAAAACAAATGTGAAAATCCACTACAAGCTCCATGTTAGAAGTTATTTAAACGGTTGCAGGTGAAGGTCCTGAATCATCTGTTTTCTGCTGCATTGGAAAAAGCTATCAAGGTAGTAGATTGTTAATTGTTACAAAGCTCAGCCTCTTTATTGTCTGATCAGACAAAAGTGGCATTGTTCTTGCTGTGGTTATTCTTCTTGCTTGAAGTTTTAACTGAAGGTTTAATTGCTGTTTTTGCAGTTGGATCAATACGCTTTTTCA